AACAGGCAGTTAGGAGTCCTGTACTGGAATGCATATACATGTATGTAGTGTTGTTTTTTAAACTCAGAAAAGCAGTGTTCCCTCAGGTGCTTTCACGTTTTCCATGTTGTCAGTCATTGGTTCAGCTTGTCTGTGTTTGAACTCAAATCAAACCATGGAATTATGATGTTTATGTCCCTGGGCAAGTTACTTTGCCAAGTTTTGTGTCCCTGGATACTTTGGCGTGCTTTGTGTTTTAACCCATGGCATATGCGATTGTGTTTTAGTCGAGTTCATCATGAGTTCCTGCAAATTCATCAGAAACCTGTCACGAGTCACCTCGTTGTAAGTCGAGTTGAAAGCTATTTATATGAATCACGACAGAAGCATTCCTAGGGGTATCACCCAGTTTCAACTCGACTTCACCCTGGACTCGACTACAAGATTCCTACATTTGCTTCAACTGATCCATGCACAGTACGGATCACCACCAATACGTGGATGTACTTACATGTGTAACTTGGCTGTGGTGAACATGCCATGAACTGTGCATATTGCTATTGCCCAATTAAATGTTAACTTTTCCCGGACGCCAATATTCTCTGTTTGAAATCCCCTCACACCAAGAAAGTGCCCCCTAGGCTAGTGGCAGTGGTTCTTCACCTTTTCTCCTCCCAGAGAGGTGTCACCTGTGCAGGGAACCTATGCATGTATTTTCCTATCCGGGATTTCTTCCTGTACTTTTTGTGCACACTACAGCTTCACCCTGCCATGTCAGCATCAATCCCTGTGCCAACGGAGCCACATGCGTTGAAGACAACTCAGCGGCAATCTGCATCTGTGCCGAAGGCATCACAGGGGCTTCTTGCGATCGAGGTTTGTCGTTAAATAATGGCACTGACAGTCCTTTTCCCAGTCAGAAACAATAAGTAATGTATGGGGGAATGACCCTTCTGTGATAGAGATGACGGTAAATGTTCTTTGAATTGAACATTTCACTGGTTATTAAACAAAATCATTCAGCAGAGTGCCTAACATTTGTTCTTCTTTGATGTACAGCTGTACACGCATATTAAAAAAAGATAGATGCTCTAAATAAGCTAGTTATTCTGGATGATTTTGAAGTATTGGCGTCGTTTAAGGTCAACCCCATAGGGCCATCCATAAAAATAGGAGCACAAATAAGCCATTTGCGAGTTAAATTTGAATAAAATCTGGTACACTGAGTTATCTGATTGCACATAAACATAACAATTTGAATTCCCCAAACTAAATACACTGTTGCTATACCTCGTGATTCGGGGCAAGCTTTTGCTTAGCAACCACCATCCCTGGTTCCTTTGTGGCCTTCTTTTCCATTGAGAATAGTGTATTGTTGCAAGGCGTCTCTTATGTAACTAAGGAAAAGCTTGCCCCGAATCACAAGGTGTAACAACAGTGGCTTCAGTATGGAGAATTCCAAGTGTTATGTTCATGTGAATTTTAAGAACTCTATGTACCAGATTTTATTCAAATTTAACTCGCAAAAGACTTATTGAATCCTTACTCTTCAGACCCCCGTCCCAAACATGGTGATTCCAGCCCCTTGCCCCCTCGCCGGAAGCATACACAGTCCATTTTTCTCTTTGACTATCGGCCTGATGGCACTGTCCCGCTTCTAAATGTGACTGGCGCTGCAAAAATGGCCCTTGGGCTTATGTGTGATTTTAAGCGATGCCTACGGACAGAGGGGCATTTTAATAAGGATTAAATTTGTGTATTTCTTAACCTCTGTCACAAATTTTATTCCTGAGATAAAGAAATTTTTAGGATAGATGTCTGGCAGATGTACGGAATGGTCTGTTTCATACAGAGGCATAGCATGACTTAAGGGCCTTTTTGCAGAGTGGGTCGCAAATGGTGAGGGAAAGGTACCATAGCAATTTTCAATATATAAAAGCCGGTGGAGGTAGGTGTTTGACGTGTGAAAGTGCATTAATTTCATGATAATTTATTAAAATCCCAATTGGCACTCTGCACATGTGCATGGACCCTCCCACTCCAGTGCACAAGTTTTGTGCAGTGTTGGCCCCTCACCGCGGATAAATACTGTATGGATGGCTCGAACTAATGTCACTAAGAAAAGGAGGTATAAAACTAACATCAAACCAATATTTTGGATGTAAATTCTAATGAAGGGTTATGCAGAATCTATCCTGAAGAGGTGCAAAGACAGTCTACGTGTATTAGATATGTGACCGGCTCTGCCAAAAAGGGTATTAAGGAACACTGTGCTATTTTTTACTCTGAGGGTTTTTTTATGTGGACAGGGTGATTTTTTACTTCTTGGTTTATTGACGTCTATTGCACAATTCATACAAGAAATCTAACTGTTGCTATGGGTATCAAGAGACTTTCTTCTTGGCTGATTTTTGATTTCTTTTTCCACTTCCTGTGTTTAAAGGGCTTTATCTTTGAAAGCAATTCTGTTAATGGGTGTGATATGATTATGCAAAAATCAATATATCTCCAGATTGCAAAATGCCACAGGGTTCAAACCTACACCAAGTTAAAGCTCATAATGTAACCAATTCAAATGTGTATGTAACTCATTTTGAAAAAAAGGTCCCATAAAACCCAATTTTGCGGAGCCGGCCATCTACAGATTACCAAACTTCTTTCATAAACAGTGTTGGCTTTTTTTCAGATGGTATTCAGCCTTTCCGTCACCTGTGCATAATTCTATCAACTGTACCAAATCCTGTCTCTCCCCCCGCACATTTTTTGAGAACATTGAACTGTTTGCAGGCTTTAACTGAGCCATGTTTACGGTGTTTTCCAGTTGATCCCTGTGAGTTGGAGGTCAACCAGTGCTTGAACGGCGGAAACTGTTTCTCCACTGACAATGCCACAACAAAGTGTGCGTGCCTTGACGATTTCACTGGTCCGCTGTGTGAGATAGGTAAACCGTGAATAAAATATGATTTAATAGCCCAAACAGTTTCCTTTTAACAAGTAAACAGTGTGTGTGTCAGTGTTTGTCTTGATATTGGTTTTATTAAATTTAAGACTAAGTCGTCACCTCCTCACTGTTTTACAATTTTTACTTCATTACCTACAAATAAGTGCCCCCCTGCCATGACAGTGTCAACCCATGTATGAATGGAGCCACTTGCGCAGTCAAAGATTCTGCAGCAGTTTGCATCTGTGCAGAGGGTTTTGTCGGAGATGTTTGTGAAAGAGGTAAGGAAATTTCGGGAGAAGGTGTAGGGAAGAAGGAATATGATCACCGTACTTCTAAAATTAAATTTGTGAAGCTATAGAAATGTTATTTGTGGTTTTTGTAAGTCAAAACAAATTTTCTTTTGTGCAAACATTTTTGCATTCACATTATCTCATTTTTAAGAATGCACTTTGTAGTTTTTGTCTGATCATCAGACATAACATGTCTGATGTTTTGCATCATCAAATTTTTGCCTTTATTTCCAACTAACAGAATATATAAAAGTGCAATATAATAGCGCTTTTGATTTAACAAAAAACTTTTTGAACACATTTTCAGCCGATCGATAAAAGACAAAAAGTTTAAACCACAAGATAAGTTATTTGAGGAAGAAGCATTCAACGTACAATTAACCCAACATTGTTTGTTTGTTTCTTGGCTTGTTTTTCGTAATTAGTTCACCCGTGTGCTGCCTCGGTAAGCCCTTGTAGGAATTCTTCTGACTGTGTCTCCCCTGACGGCCTCTCTGCAGTATGTATCTGTGCCTTCGGCCTGACTGGGGAATACTGTCAAACCAGTAAGTGCTACACAAATTGTCAGGGATCCCACAGAATAGGTTTCAGGACCACGTAATTTAAGAAATGTTTTAGTATGCTTCAGAAGGAGCTTGTTGTTTTTGATGTATTGCTCAGTGTGTGCCATCCCAATGAATGCAGACATATGGGTGGCAAAATGTCCAGATATTATGTTGATTTTGTACAAGGTATTTTTAAAGGTCTTTAATTCAAAAGAAACTTTCTTGACTTTGCGACTCATTTTATTAGGCTAGATTATAGTCATATTTCATGTTAAACTATCCATCCTTTGGATTGGTCTGTCACTAATACGGGCAATTCACAATAGTGTGCCTCCAAGAGTTTGCAATGCATTGACCAATCACAGTGCGCGTAATCTTTCCAAAAGGGCATTGGGATGGCAAATTTCGCGCACTGTGATTGGTCAACGCATTGCAAACTCTTGGAGGTACATTACTGTGAATCGCCCGTGTTGTGGAGTTGATTCATTAGGAAAAAATTGCATCAAAGCTTTCCATGATAGCAGTAGCAAAGAATTTGAAAAAAGGGAATCAGTTGTAGGTAGAAATTTTTTGCAGTAGTGAAGGTTGGACATACAGTTATGATTGTCTTACATAGCAACTCTGAAAGTCACTGATTTATCAAGCCGATGTCACAACGAATCACTCCAGTCTGGTATCCCAATAAACACATTGCAAGCATTGATTACAGCATTGAAACAGCCTCAGACTCAATTCCAGGCTGAGTGAGCAGATTGTTGTAGCGCACTACACGACACAGCAGGAACAAGGTTGAAATTGTATCCAGTAAGGTTTATGAGGCAAGGTCCACCTCCATCCTTATTTTAAAAAAGCCACTCAAGTAGTGTGGAATTTGTCTTGAAACCAAAACGCTGATGGCTGTTCCTCCAAATAGTGCTCCCATGCCATGACAGCATCAACCCATGTATGAATGGAGCCACCTGCTTGGAGGGGGGTTCAACTGCGTTCTGTATCTGTGCAGAAGGCTTCGTTGGAGATAACTGCGAAAGAGGTATCTTTACTCTATCTTTATCTCTATCATTCCCGGCTTTGCCAGAGGGCTTTACCATCAGAAATGAAGGGATAAACCAGATCACTTGCATGGTGTCCGTAAACTGGAACCCTTTTTTTCTTGTAACCGCTTCACACCAGGGGACAATTTCATAGAGCTGCTTAAGCACAAAGTTTGCTTAAGCGTGAAAAAACCTTGCTTGACAAATCAGCTCTGGCCAAAACTTCACGTGATGTATATTGTTTTGTAGTGGCATCTGTCTTTTTCGTTAGCATCACAATCACGTAGATTTTGAACTGGTAACCTTTGTAATTTTTAGCAAGGTTTTTTGCGCTTAAGCAAATTTTGTGCTTAGCAGTCCTATGAAATTGGCCCCTGGGGACATGAAATCTATCTGGATGTGTGTACACACTGGTTCACCTGATGGATTTAACTTTGACTCGCCTCCGACTGATGCATAAACATGTTTATCACCTCTTGTTTTGAACCAAGAAATCTGTGGCGTCAGATTCCGTGTTAAACTTGAACTTGGCCACAGTGCACAGTCTGTTTTTGTAAATATGGGTGCAGCTCAGAGTGTTGGGAAAAATTACCTCATGGTATTAGAAATGTCATACAGATACTTTTCAAATGACCCATTCATTCAGTAATTGTGTCATTTTGTCTGTGTATTAAAAGTTACCGCAATGTTTACTAGATTCTGTAGGTGTGGCAGAAAGACTAAGCTCTGACAGAAATCCCAATGATGTCTGTTCTTGATGTGCCACTTCTTTTTGTCTACAGTTGACCCTTGTGCTGCAGAGCTTGATCCATGCATGAACGGCGGGTCCTGCTACTCGCCTGACGGCATCACAGCCAAGTGTGGATGCGCCGATGGGATCACAGGAATGTTTTGTGAGATAGGTGAGGGCCACATCTTAATCACAAGTGTTGTCTGCATTCAGCCAAGTTCAAGTGCTGTGACTTTTGTACAGTGGGGGACCCTGACTTATGGGAGTATACAGGAATATAAAAGGACAGGGGGGCCATGATGGCCCAGTGTGTTGCACGATGTTAACAAACCGAGGTCTGCCTTTGCTTTTGTAATGCAGGGGTGAGATTTCTCAGCTTTTTAGCTGATTTCAGCTTTTTTTTTTTGAATTTCGGCCTTTTTTCCTCACTGGCTGTGTACAAAAGTAAAGGAGATTTTCACAGTTCAGCTTCTTTATGCCTTTGTTCTGCTGTTTTCAGTTATTTTTATCATTGGTCATTGGTCAATGTCACCCCTGGTAATGTTCAACCCTGAAACCTCTTTTGGTACTTTCACTTTGTAGGAACACACACCTCTGTGTGTCATCCACAAGTTCACACTTTCAGTGCATCCTTGTTTGTCTATTAAAAGCTGTTCCTCTCTTTATCAGGAAACTTATTTTTATTTCACATGACGCAATGTCCTCTTTGCATTAGCTTTTTACTAAATACATCGCTGTGACCATTTTTTTTGCAACAGCCGTCGTGTGTTTTTTTTTCAGTTCCGCCTTGTCACGACAGCATCAACCCCTGCGCAAACAAATCACTCTGCCTGGAGACGAATTCCACCGCCGTCTGTGTGTGCCCCAGGGGCACGAGCCGAGATGACTGCAAAGAAGGTTTGTAGAAGGCGGGAGCTCGCAAAAACATTCCCATCCAGATAACTCTCTGAGAGTCATCTTGTGTACATGCATATACTTGTCATGAGTGTGAATGAAAACCTCAAGAAGCAATACATTCTCGGCCAAATTTGCCCAAGTTGAGTATTTTGGATTGAGTGCTTGAGCAAGTAACTGGAACCTCTTCTGAGAATAGAGAGCCTCCTTGCTATTGCCGTCTCAAACCTGTTGTCGTTTGATATTCAAAGTTGTAAGGTATGTTATGGCTTGTAGCGATCAACTGGCGCTCCATGTGACGTTGTTAGGATACCCCAAGTCTGTCAAGATTGCCCATTTCTGGTACAGGGTTCATTTCCAAATGGTACAGTCAGCTTTTTTCAGGAAATGTACGAGGGCAAGAAGGTCTGGGTTCTTATAAGGACACCTTGTTCATCAAAGTTATTCTCATTCAGGTACTCTTCTGACTTACCTTTCCTGGGTGCTCTACCCATGTACTTTTGCCGGGTCATCTACCCTGGATATAATCTTCCCAGGTACTCTAAATTCCCAGGTCTCCTCCCAGAGTTCTTAAAATTCCCAGGGTTCTTCCATGGTATTTTGAATTCCCAGGTCTCTGTGTAGGTAATAGTTTTCAACTATTCTTCACCATAGTAACAGACGACATGATTAATACAGTTCCAGATTCCAAGCATTACGATTTTTGGACTCTTTATGAGACAAGATACTTGTAACCAGTTAAAAAATCTCTCAAGGTATCATTTGCTGACTGCTCTCAAGGAAACATGTGCAGGTATTAACATCAAGGCATAAAGTCCTTTCAAAGTGGTTCATCAGGGTGTTCTCATCGTGTGTATTCCCAGTTCAACCATGCAAAGAAACCAATTCTGCTGATGTCACAGGCGTGTGTGTCTGTAGGAACAGTACCACTCTTCTGCAGTGTGAAAAAGGTAATGAACAAAATATACATGTCAACTGGTTTTGAGAAAATTTGGCTCTGCAGGCAAGATGGTGGACATCTCGCACAATTTTTCTGTATGGTACAATTTTTCACAGTATTTAGATTTTCATTTTATTTCATTCATCATTTCTTGCTTTCGAAACTGTAAACATACATGTGATAACTTAGCATGCAAAACTACAAAGAACTTTTAAGATCATAGATTTAATTGAAAACTAATTTTCTTTGCAGATAGGGGCTTGTTTATGTTGTAGGTCCTCTAACTAGAATCTCTCAGAAATTTTCCCATGCCATGAAGAGATGGAAGTCCCTTTAGTTCTGAAGACATATTTGAAGATTCATTTTCAATGTTAAATGTAATTTTGCATTTGGGCAGTGTTAAATTTACACTAGGTCTGTCGCTGGACTTAGTAAACACTACCCGCCTGGTATGGCTTGAGGACATGTGAAAAGATTCATTATTTACATTATTTTGATGGAACTCGGACCCGCAACCTCCATCTTACAATTGCAGACATCTATAAGCAAAGACTATTCACAGTTAATACTCGGTTATTGTGTATATTTCCCTCTGAGTGACGAGTGATCATTCATTCTCGCAGTGCCATCGTGTCATGACAGCGTTAACCCATGTCTCAACGGAGCAACTTGTGTGGAAGAGGATTCAGCAGCTGTCTGCATCTGTGCAGAAGGCTACATCGGTGATTACTGTGAGAGAGGTATGCAGGGGGAAGTTGCTGGGCCCATAATTTTCTTTAAACTGGTTACCAACTTTTATACTGTACGATAGATATTGCTTCAGAGGACTGGTTCCGAATGGACTTTTGTTAACCTGTTAACTCTTCTACTTTACAAGCAGTGTTGTCTTCTCAGTGTTTGCTTTAATGGATCATCCATTTGTATTTGTCATCCTGTTGATGAGCGTTCAAAGCACATGCCAGAAAGGAAGGGGTTTAAAGCCTGTATTCCCAAGGCCACCAAAGAAATTTAGTTTTAAGCAATAATTAGCACCAGTGCCCATTTCAAAAATCCTGCCGCATGATTTTTTTAAAAAAATTGTCTTTTCTGATATCCTTAGCTTTCCCTCGTAGTTTCTACAACACCCACACAACTTCATGAATGCACAACATGTGACCTGAGTACATACACACAATGTCATGTGCAATTCTGTGCACGAGTCTGAAAACCCTCCTACCTCCTCGTTTTGTGCAAATACAACTGATGCTTAACTATTTTTTGTAAGAGGCCTAATCTTGGAAAAAGGTCAGTTCTACCCATCATCCTTTCTTTGCACAAGCTTCTGAAAAAGAGAAAATATGAATGGCCTGTGTAATGTTACTCGTGAAGACTCATTATAACGTCTTGTTTGTCAATCAGTCAGCACTGTCCCATTAATTTGGACAGTCTTCAGTGATCACCTCTTGTAAAGCAGAGTTATCTAAACTGACTCTAAAGAATGAAACGTTGCAGGGTCTTACGAATCAAACGTCCTCAGAGTGAGATGCTTCAAACTGACTTTTCAATATATATGTGACAGTTAGTGGCCTAAACACTTGTTTTAAATTCAACATTTTTGTTGCCTTTGCTTTTTTAAGTTCACCCCTGTGCTGATGCAGTGAACCCTTGTTTGAATGGTGGAAAATGCTTCTCCAAAGATCTTATTGAAGCCAAATGCTCATGTTTGGAAGGCATTGCTGGGCAGTATTGTGAAATAGGTAGGTTCAGTTTTCTCCAGTAAATATTTCCCCTTTTCTGGAGATGGTTTGCTCTGTAAATTTGTCAAGCGGTGTTGAGGATCTGTGCGGCAGATTAATGTATTTCAGTGACTTTTAAAAATTCACATTTTTATTTCTGTGCAATAAGATTTTTCCCAATGATATCCCGAAGGTACATCTTCATGTGTCCTTGTAGTGTTTATGGAAATTTGGCTCTTCTTTTCTTGGCTGTTTCCAAGCCTTGAGGGATTTTAACCAATTCTGGGTTTCAGAATCTCAAGCAAAGGTGCCCCTGTGCTCTCGTCTGAGGAAAAGACTTCAGAGAAACAAAGGGCATACATGTATTTATTGATTCTTGTTGCTGCAAGTTCTCAGTCCTGAGTGCACTTTGTCACAATCGATTACCTCATGACATTCAGTCGGCAAAAATCTCTGTTGCTTTTGTAAACAGTGTACAGGTGCAATTTATATTTCCGAATTTTATAAAATTTTGATCCGTGAGCATTTACACTACAGGTGCCCTCCCGTACCTATTTCTAAACATCACCCTCATAGATTACAGCGCCTGCAGACCCAATGGGACACTCTTCTCGACAGGTGCAATGTTTCCAAACTGGAACTCCCACTTGGGTTTGCATGCTAAAACGTTTTAGATTTTTAAATTTGTAGAGTTGTTTACTGTGATCTTACAGTACCTCCATGCCATGAGAGCGTCAACCCATGCATGAATGGTGCGTTGTGCATAGAAGAGAATGCAACCGCAGTCTGCGTCTGTGCGGAGGGCTTTGTCGGCGACAATTGTGAGAGAGGTATACACTTCACTCCTCATATTAAAGCGAGTAACAAGGCCAAGAAAGCAGTAATATCTTTGCTAAAAGCCTGTTGTGACTTGCTTTTGGATAAACATGTAAAAGGTTAAGCGTGTCTTCTCTCGTTTCGTTTTTCAGTTCACCCGTGCTCCACCGGGGTCGACCCTTGTGTGAATGGTGGCATCTGCCTCTTGACTGACCGGGTCAATGCCACATGCACGTGCATTGATGGCTTCACAGGGGCACACTGTGAAACAGGTAAACAGTCATGCTCTTCACAGGCCCGCTCAACAATTTTTAGAAGGTGTGGTCTAGCGGAAATGCCCTTTATGGCTGACAGCATTTGTATGATTTCATTCACAGCTTCCCCATGCCACGAGAGTGTAAACCCGTGTCTTAACGGTGCGTCGTGCATCGTAGATAATTCAGCAGCATTCTGTGTCTGTGCTGAGGGCTTTGCTGGAGCTAACTGCAGCAGAGGTATTGTACTCCTGTAAAATTGAATCCTGTTGTTTAGATTTGGTTTTGAAATGCACGACCTCCTTCATCTTTAAACTATATGAGAGAAAACTTCAAGTTGCGTGGATGGGTTTTTTAAAAAAAAGCAGTTCATTTTTCTTGTTGTGGGAGTAGGTACACGGATTATTTGGGCTGGAGAAAACCAAAGATTACAAAAAGTCCCTCCAAATTAATACTTTGGAAATGGAAATTTTGAAAAGAAAATGGCTTTTGTATTGCTGACCTTCAGAAAATTTTGTAAAAACGTGCATTTTGTTTTGAGCTTCTGTTACTTTTTCTATGCCAAACTTCACAGACTTTGCATATGTTTTCTCTTAATGCCATTTACGCTTTATCCAAGATTCATCCAAACTTAAATCTGCACAGCTCTAGTGATTTTCTCCTCATTAATTTTGCAGCTCATCCGTGCGCCGCCAGCGTTAATCCTTGCATGAATAACGGTGAGTGCTTCTCCGCTGACGGCGAGACGGCCATGTGCGTTTGCCCCGACGGCCTGTTAGGAATTCACTGTGAAAGAGGTAGGCAACTTGCGTCAGTTTGGAATCATTTTGTTGCTGGTTTCTCAGGCTATCACAAAGGCTGTTTTTTTCACATGGCCTGTATTTCAGACACATTAACTTTTCCCTCTGTGAGAAAGCATCAGTGGCAAACGTTACAGGTTATTTTTGTCCACTGCACAGGCTACATGAAAAGTAGCGCCATATATTTTTTAGCCAAAGCTGCTTTTTCCTCATTTGTTCGCCAGAAGAGAGAAATGCCAAGGTCAGCAAGATGGAGAAGCAAACCAGGACCGCCCGATTATCCTTTGTCCGTACTTTTTAGCAACTTCATTTTCTGTCCGTTGTAAGGACCTCCCTTGTTTTTGGTCACTTAACTCAAAAAAACATGTTGAGCAGTTTGTGTGAAATTTAAAGGTTGGGAGAGGTAAGGTAAAAATATCAAGCGAGATCGGCCAATCAGCGTGATCGTGTGACCATGTTGCCCCATCAGTCAATCCAGTCTGAAATCTCCAACTTTGCTGCCCTTTTCTGAAGCAATCTTCCACAGCTGTGACTTGATTTATTTCCCTTGCAGTTTCTCTGTGTCGAGACAGCGTCAACCCGTGCCTGAACGGAGCAACGTGCACAGAGGACAATTCATCAGTAGTCTGCATCTGTGCGGAAGGCTTCATCGGGGATAACTGTCAGAGAGGTTTGGGCCGGAGCGAGACCTGTCGTCTCCTCTTCAGATTTTTTCTTTTTTTTTTATAATCTTGGAAGGTGTATAATAAAGTTTCTTTCTGAAATCTCACACATTATTGGGGTTGGATGGCTTTGTGGGCAAACAGGGTTGCGCTTTCTAAGAATTTTATCTGGAATGCAGTGTTTCATATTCAGACACTCTGAAATGTTAGTCAATCAGGTTTTGCTCCTTGGTGAGAAAACTCCTTTGCTACTATAAGCCCTTAAAAGTGACAGTATTCAATTGTCATTGTCACTACTGGTTGTTCTGTGCGTACTCCTCATGCCTAGTCTCATCCCTTGATGCACACCCAATACAGTGTCTCACTGGTGCACTGGTTCAAATCCCACTTCAGGGTGACTCGAGGCTTCAGGCAGGAGCAAGGCAAATGCGATATCATGGAATATTAAGCAGCAAAGTTTGCTGGAGTTGACACGTGATTTCCCTCACTAGTGTGAATATTTTTTATCCGACTTCACAAAAATCATGTTTATCTTTGCTTTTGTGTCAACTATGAACCGGCCTTCGGGCAATTTCTTTATTTGACTGACTTTTGAGTCATTTCTAATCTGGTTTTTCTTTCTGTAAAGGGTTTTTCACACCCTAAACATTTAACAGTGATTTTCGTGCCACAAGAAAAAACATTGGGTGCTATGCTTAGTTTGCAGATATCAACTTCACTTTCTCGGGTTAAGGTGTCATTTTGATCCAGGTTTTTGTCTCTGCATGCAGTTCATCCCTGTTCTGAGGGAGTCAATCCATGCTTGAACAGTGGCACTTGCTTCACCAGCGACGGCATGACAGCAAAGTGTGCATGCTTAGATGACTTCACTGGAGCGTACTGTGATTTCAGTAAGCCTTGGTGCTGTTTTAACCACTTGCTTCCGGGTGGTTTGAAAAATGCAGTGCACATGATAGGGACTTTTTCAAGATTTTCAGTTTTCAAAATTCTTCAAACAATCATCATTTCAATTAATGGATGTTTACACCCACTCAAATTACTGTCTGGTGGCCACTCTAGTCTGACAGACAAAATCTATTGACGTACCAGGNGGGGCCAGATTAGCATGCAGCAGTGCTGTGTGCCTCATCACCACGGTGGTCAAGCGCTTTTGTCCCCGGTGGTCAAGCGCTTTTGTCCCCGGTGGTAATCCACTCGCACTAAACCGTGGTATACTGTTTCAAAACAAGGCTGGATTATCATCTCCACTATTGAGAGAGAAAAAATGTTGGTAATGCCCAGCAGCCTGGTCTTTTGTTACAAGGCCCAGTTCCCTTTGTCTGATTTCGGAGACCCCAGCCATGCGTATAAACCCCCGGTGCCCGAAACCAGGCTCCCCGGCAGGAAGTGGTTAATGACAGCCTTTGCCTTTAAAGTGTAGTTGAAAGGATTCATGCTGTTGGCTTTTTGAATATTTTGGATTCACTTTTTGCATCGCTCGTCCCATGGCTGGCAAAATGTGTAATTTGCCTGTTGTTAAATGCCTAACAGGCCGCGTCATCAAAGTTTACATGAGTATATAGCATACACTCTTGACTTATTACTGGGCTGTTGCTGTGATTTATGTCTGACATGCGTGCACAAAAGTCAAACATGCGTGCACGCGCGTATGATATGCGCAGATGAGACATGTACAGTATGGCATTGGAGAAGAATACGTGCCCTTGTGCACAGTGGCTGGGACTTTGCATTGTGGCATCAGTCCTTGCAGGCCGGCACTGTTTCACCGTCGGGAGTAATTGGCCCACGAGGAAGAAGTGATTCTTCACTGAGGTATTTTTATCGGTTTTCAGTGGCTCCTTGCAATGAGTTTGTTAATCCCTGCCTGAATGGCGCCACCTGCGTATCAGACAACACTGGATGTGCTAGATGCATCTGCACCGAGGATTATGTTGGAGATAACTGTGCAAGAGGTATTGTTCAATGGACAACGGCTAGAAACCCAGTGAATTGTGGACAAAATGACAACCACTCCATGAATTGGAACTAAACTTTGACACTGTTCTTGACTACATAGAAGGGCACAACTCTAGAATGTTTCACAATATTATTATTAAGAACCTTATTATAATTAATACTATAAATAACAAGAGTATTCCACACTCCTTAACTGTTTTGCTCTGTTTATACTCAATGAGATTAAAAATATTCAAAACAATTAAAAGATATATTTTTCAAAATTCTCTTTTTAGAGGTCATGCATTGTATAATTAATGCAAACCATGCACAGTGCTGTCACGGTGCACTGAGGCCAGTTTCCCAAAGTTTGTGGTTTGAGCTTCTTCACTGTGAAACAGAATGATTTGTATTCGATAAAGTCTGGGAAGTTGGAAACCAAAACCCTCTAAAGGAGATGTAGCCTAGGCTTAAAAATAAGTTCCAACTTGCCTCAAACAAGAGGTCCATGAAAGGAGTTAGTTGAGATATAGAATAAAGCCACATTAAAATAGTTACAGCTATGGCTGTGGATAACATGCACACCTATGGGAAGCCACTGCTTTGTGGCTACGGGCGTTTTCCTATAAATTTGTTTGGTACTCCTGGCCAAAGTCAGTTAACTTGGTCTTGGCAATACATTTGATTCTTATCGCTTCTCCAGCTCACCCTTGTTCGGCAGGAGTTAATCCCTGCTTGAACGGTGCCCGCTGTTTCTCTGTGAGCGATGTCATGGCAGTGTGTTCATGTGTGAATGGGTACGCCGGTGAACGGTGCGAAACAGGTAAGGCCGCTTATCGCAGCCAGGTGAGTATTCCAACTGCAGTTGCAAACATTAAGATTTGCCATTGTCACGTTGTAAGATTTGCCATTGTCACGTTGGGATAAATCGCCAACAAGTTCGTTGGGATTACAGTGAAAATTACAGAAAAAAAGTTCTTTTACCTGTAATAGTGCAATAAATTCCAAACACTCTGGACCACCCCACGTTATGTGTGAGTTACAGTTTCATTGCGTGGAAAATTCATTGTGCACATTTAGTAACTGGTTGCTGTCATAGATTTGTAATTACTGATTTGCTGCACATTATGTTTCTTTGAATTGCGCTGTGTGTGTTTCACTGTTTCATAACAGTTCCCCCGTGTCATGACACTGTCAATCCGTGTATCAACGGAGCAGTCTGTGTTGAGCACGATTCGGCCGCAGTCTGCATCTGTGCTGCAGGCTTTGTTGGAGATCACTGTGAACGAGGTTGGTTTATAACTGGGAAGGTTTACAGTGTCACCTGCCGACGACCTGATGCTGAGAAACAAACTCGCAATAGTGATCATTGAACGAAGGTGGGGTTGGATTTTCAGCAGTATCAAAGACCACCACCCCACACACACACAAGTGTGTATTTGCCTTCAACTGGGGACCCCCTACTTTTCCTCTTTTGTTTGTACTTAAACTTTTTTAGAAGACCACCCATATGTTTTTTACAGAGTTGTCAATCGGGGACCCTC